GATCTTGCGCTTGTAGACGGACAAAACACAACGTCCTTCACTCCCAGAGACACAAATGAAAACACTGGGATGTTCTCAAATCCCAGGCTGAAAGCAAAACCCAGCACTATTCTAGTTACTAAAAAGAAACCCATCTCTGTTCCAGCTAAAAACCAGGACAATTCCTTTGATCATACATTCTGCTATTTGACTGTCGGGTTCCTTTTCCGTTAAAACACTTGTTATTCCTTTTGATTTAGGGATCTTGCCAACACACAGCAGAACTGATAGCCAGTCTGGAGTTCTCACACACAGCCGAAGCAGCAGCAAAGGAAGCGCAGAAGAAATTGCATCCCAGCCGAAGCACAAGGATCTGGCTGGCAACGTGCGGCAGAAAATGCTTCTGGACTACAATATTTATATGGCAAAGTGTGTTCCACATGAAAAGAAAAGCCCTTCAGGTAGTCCAGTGCTCAGTGCAGATAGCAGCCCTACAGCTGTGAAAAAGGTAATACTTCTCCCTGCAAAGATGCATCAGAGGTGGTGGTACAGTTTATCTTGTTAACTGCAACTTTAAAAGTCAGTTATATAGAAAGAAAAATTAATTTCTTTAACTACAGGTTGGACTTAAACTTTTTCTAAAGTCAGTGGGGGTTTTCATGCTTGCCACTTCCCCTTTCACCATAGTTTCTTCTTAATGTAACATACAAGTTTTTCATTGATTTAGTCTGATTTCTTATCTCCCAAGAACATATGTGGGTTTTTTCTGGCTTTTTTTTTTTTTTTTTCTGGCTTTTCCAGTGTCTTGTTCCAAAGAGATTACAGCTGAAGGCAATGTGGCCCTGGTTTTTCTTCATTAGGAATGCACAAATGTGTCTGCAAAAACCATTGATCACAAAAGAACTTGTATTTTATGCTTAAGATTAAAACAAACAAAAAAATAAAAACCTCCACAAATCTCACTTAGTAGTAGTAAAAAGATAATTTTTTCTGTGTATATTCTAACATAGATTGAACTAAAAGCATAATTTTTTATGTGCTGGCTTGTTGAAATAATTTCAGTTGAATTTTTAGTACTTGGTAGTAAAACTGATCTTCATTTTTTAATGATTGTTGGGAACTAAAGGCCTTCTATCACTCCTGAGTGCATCTGAGCACCTGGCTGGGACAGAATTACCATATAACACAAGTATAAATAGCAGTTTTTCAGTGCAGATACTACACTATAAATTCTGTTTTCAGCCCCACACTTGCATTCTGGACCACATGAAGCAGTGCTTTTTGTCTTGGACCTGAGAACTGTTTTTCTGTTGCATGTTTCAGAAAGTGTTTACCCTCTTCATTTCTTCTTGAGAATGGTGTCCTGACCCTCTTGCCATGAAGAGGGTTAGGGATTTGCCTTTAGTATGTATCTGATAATATTCTGGCTGTGGCTTTGACAACAGCTGGACAGTTTTTACTGCAATATACCTGCTGCTTGAGTTGACTGAGGGACAGAAATGGATTTGGCTCCTATACAGACTACAGCTTGATTTGGACAGACTCACTCAAAAGACATAAGGCATGGATAGATGGATCGTATGGTTTCTATTTTTAAATGTCTTGTAAAGCAATACTAAATAGCTGATGTGTAAGTATTGTGTGGTACGTAGCAGCATAATAGTGAACAAGGTCTATAGCTCCAACTAATCCTTTGGTCTCTTAGACTGCATTTTAATCACTCTTAGTAAACAGAACCTTAGTATAAAGTACAGAACTTGTAATAAATGAAACTTTAATGTGAAGTACAATCACCATTCATTTAAAAGATGTGATTCATGTCATGCATCTTTATTGCTGGACTTTCATGTGTCCAGAAAGGAGTAGGAGGCCATAGTATAGCATATGAATAAACACATCTCATGTTCCCCCCAGGAAAAAAGATATTCTAGCCCCTGACAACCCCTGAAACAGTGATGAATTTGCTGCTGAATCTGGCACATGTTAGAAATTGTTCTATAAATAGATCAACAGTGCTGCCAGGAAACGTGCGTCACAGCAGAAGTGACTAACCTGGCAATTCAGCTTTTGGGAGCAGTCATTGCCAAGAAATGATGTTCAGAACTGTAGCATCTACCTGGCTGCCCTTAGAAAGCACCTGCTTTTCTGCTGGATTCAGGATTTCTGCCTGTACCAATGAAAGGCAAATTCTCCTTTTGTTGCAGGCAGTTGAGGGACATTAAATATGTTGTCTTTCCTTCGTGGAAACCTGGTTTTAATAAAATACATGATAGCACCTGCACACCCCAAATTATTTCAGCTGCCTTTGCTTTCATGTCTATAGTCAGTGATGCAACATGTGAACTTGTATCCTCAGGTGTTTTGAGACCAATACTTAATCCTCTTGAACTGTAAACAAAACCTTTAATGCAGCAGAAGGAACAATATGGTTTCCTGAATCCTGTATACAAACGTTGGAAGGAAGAGTGTGTTTCCCTGTACTGCATTTGTTTATCATCAATTTGTGATGTTTCTGAACTGGATTTAAGGATGTAAGATTGGGTCTTGCTTTCCTAATTTTTTTTTTTTTTTTTTTTTTTTTTTTTTTGTGATAAAACAAAATAAGAGTAGAATAGTTGTTCTTCTAGATCCTGTTGGGAAGAGAGAGTGTCTCTACTACAGACACATTTATAAGTCTACCCACTCTGGGCTTATCTGCTTTTTCTGCCAGAGGTTAGATTACTTACAACTTTCTCATTTCATTGCCAGAGGTGAATCCATATCTATGTAGCATCATTCAGTCTGTTGCATGTCAGGATGATGACAAGGAAGCTCATGTCAGACCAGCTGATGTAGTTGTAAAACTGCTGTTTGTACTGAGCATTTAGTGTTCTTAGCTAACCTGGGCTGTAACACTGAATTTCCCAGTGTAAATGAGGCCTTTTCTGATCTTATTTATAGAGTTTGTAGAGCTGAATAACCTGCTCTGTGTTTTCAGTTACCAGATGCACATGTGGAAGCTGAAGAAGAAGAACAGGAGGCCTGGGTGAATGCTTTGCTTGGAAGAATATTTTGGGATTTTTTAGGAGAAAAGTACTGGTCTGATCTGGTGTCAAAGAAGATCCAAATGAAACTTAGCAAAATAAAGGTAACTGATCTGGAGACTTGGGCTACACATTCCTTATGAAGGAAAGCAAACACATAGTCTTTGAGTTTTAAAACTGTAGAAGAAACACTTATTTCACACTTATTTACTTTTACATACAAATGTGATGCAGAGTTGCAGTTCAGCTTTGCTATCCATTTCACAGTAGAATCACAACATGTTAACTTTGCTGCTTCAGTTTCAAATGAACTGCAGCTGGATTAACTATTTGTGACTGTGAAGTTTTTATGTAAAAAGTCAATGTATTATTGTATTTACTTTAAGGATAAATAGAACTGCTCATAAGTTAGGAAATCTGCTTTGGGAAATAGTAGATTGCCTTTAAGATGGAGAGATCAGGGAGCCACAATTTTAATGTGCTCCTATTAACTTCAGACATACACTGCTTGCAGGAGAGGTCAGTGGGAGTAACAGTAGGGGAGTGAGCTGTCTGTGACAGGATATTATTGTACATCAGCTGCAGAAGCTCAGAGGGTGAGGGGAGGAATTTTGATGCTTTTGAATGACTTCTGGGTCTTCCCTTTGCATTCTGTAACTTCTGAACAGCAGCAGTTAATCACAGGGCTGTTTAGCTCCTGATGTCTGGGGAGGAGTTTGCTTGTTCCTAAAGGCAAAGGGAGATGTAGTTTTGCTGACAAAAGCTCTGAAATCTAGCTGCCAGCACCAGCTGTGAGGTAGTATCGCTTGTGCTTTGGGAAATAAGCAGTAACCTAATTCTGCCTTGGCTGTTTCCACAGTTGTGACAGCAGGGTACCCAAACAGCTCATTGGAAACAGTTTAAGTGGAAACACTGGGAATGGGGGGATGGATGTATTTTTGATAGGTTAAATCATTGTCTGTTCACAGGTGATAGAATTTCTATTGATTAGAAATACAGTAAATAGATACCCAAAACATCATGATTCTGTACCTCTATTATACTAAAATTATGATACAGATTTAAAAGCTAATGTGATATGAAAGAATTCGCTGAAGATAAAAATAACTGAGATGTTGATATAACCGCAGTTATAAAATGTGACTGAATTTAAAATCCAAAGAAGATGTCAATTTTTATTCATAGTAAAATAGGATTTATGCTTCATTCTTTGAGCTTCTTGCATGTTTTGACTAAAAAGCATGCTGGAGGTTTAAGGTTAGCATCCGAACTTCAGCATAGTTTTAAAAACACATCAAGTTCAAATGCTGAATCTCTCCCTAAAATATTATTTTGAAACTGATAACTACAAAATCCTACAATTGGAATAAATTTGTGTAGTCGTATTTGTGTTCTTTCATTGTTGGCTTTTCAGCTCAGTCCGTTCCTTAAGTTTAATGACCTTTCTTCTCTCAGGAAACAATTACGTTTAGTTCCATAAATGGATTTGATTTTTACATTCTGTTCTTTTAGTTGCCATACTTCATGAATGAGCTAACTTTAACTGAGCTTGACATGGGGATAGCAGTGCCGAAGATCCTTCAAGCCTTCAAACCTTCTGTTGATCACAGAGGTAAAATACACACTTCCTTTTCTGGGTTTGCCAGGTTTACGCCTTCATATCTGTGGAGAACAGAATTTTGATTTGTTTACCTTGTGGGTGGTTTTAATCAGAGGAAGGTACACTTAATAAGAGCTTATTCTGAGGAGATATTGAGTGTTCTCTATCTCCAATAGTAGTAGCATCAGGCTTGGTATAAACGTAATTCCATAGATATGGAAATATGATCATGTCTTTCCATTGGAGATAATTACTGAACTAAATAAAAATTTGCATGCAACAGAGATGCAGACCTGTATCTGATACTTTGTCATGGACTATGGAGAGCAATGCACATCTCAAGACAGATCAGATTTTGTACCATAGCAGAAAACAGATTTGACTCTCTTCCAGAGAAGTTGCCCTGTTCTGAAAACAGTGATTCAGAAAACACAGTTGTAATAACTCAGAAAATAAGAATACAGTGTTGCTTTGAAAAGACACTTCAGAATACAGCATCATTTTTTGTCCTTAATATTAATATGGATTTTTTTTTAATAGCTGAATCACTTTCATACTGCTGCTTTATGAATCAGAGCTGGTTTTTTTCTTTTCTGTTCTTTCTGGCTTGCGTATGGTCATAGGAGTATAGTTGAGGATACTCTTCACTTAAGTAGTTTCACAAGAAGACAAACTTGTGTGGATGTTTTTAGCTTCAAAAGTATTTGTTCTACATGCTGAGGAGAGGTAGATGCCATCTTTCTTCTACGACTTAATCAGAGCAGTTTTTAATTTTGAATTGCTTCTGAGTTTATGAAGGGTTTCTAATTGGTCTAAGGGGAAATACTTCCTTGGAGGACCTGTTGTGGTGCAGCTATGGATTTCATGGCAAACAACCTATTTTTGTTTTAAGCTGCTCTTTCAACTCTTAGATGAAGGTATCAAAATCGTTTCTAGATGGTGCTAAAACCAAGAAACTGGTAGTGAGATGTTAGGAACTAAATGAATTTACATTACTTGTTAAGAGTGTTAAGAGCTTCTAGAGAGTCTCTAAATCACAGGCCAGCAATAAGCCAAACTTCAACAAGTCTCAGTAGCATATTTAAAACAATAGCAACACACATGGACAGAGCAAAGTTTAAGCAGGTAACTAGATGAAAATCATAACAGGATCAGTCTTCACTAGCTCTCCTGTGCACAGTGTTTCTCAGTGAGGAACAGACTATGGTGTTTATTTATGTCATATCTTCTCGGAACATGAGGGTATTGAATGCACAGTGAGTACGTAGTACCGTGTCCTTTCTTGCAGTGCTGGTGGGAGGAAATTGCAGTGCTGAATTCATTGGGTTTGAGGGGGGTTTCTATTCACTGGGGTGGATTATCTCTTCAAGATCTTGGTTCTGCTCATTATTCTTAGAAATCAAGCAACAGCGGTTCCCCAGGATGGAGAATTTGTGATAGAATTCAGCTGTGCACAGTATTAGATAAGGAGCCAATTTCTGCTTAGAAGCAATTCAGGCTTCATCTTGCTCATATTATATAGTTTGGACCTGGTCTTTTTAAAGTTTATTTAACTGTAGTTTTGGTGTAAGACTCATTTGTCTGCCACTCTTACTACAGTGCTCTTATCTGACTCAGATGAACAGTTACCATCAGCACTTTGCAAGAATACCAGATGCATAAAATTTAGGAGGAAATAAGTAACTTCATCACTAATGTTAAAAATGTGCCACTCATATCAATGACTAAAAGCATGAGAAGGTTAATAAGCTCTAATCTTTCCCTCGTGAAAGTCTGAACAAAAAAGACTTTGGGGAATTATTAAAATACTCTTGGACATACCTAACGTCAGCTAATGCTGCCTGTTGTATCCAAATTCTATTGTTTGCCCTTATCTCACTTGAGACTTGCAGCTCTTTGGGGAAAAGCCTTATCTATAAAACACTGGGTACTTTGGTCTCCAATTCTTCAAAGTATGTTTTCCACTGAGCTTTATAAACTTGTTTTGCTAACATGAGGAACAAAAACTGTCTTTTAAGAGAAATAGAAATTGAGTAGATAGAATAAGCTCGTGTGTGATCAGTATTCAGGGAACTGGAGCATACAGCTGCTTCTTGTGGTATGCTTCCTGGGCAAGACAGCGAGCTCTCCACAGTACTTATGACATCCTCCAGTGTTCCCAGTAGCAAAGTGGTTTCACCATTGGTGGAAACTTTATTTTGAGTTACAGGAAAAAAAAAAAAAAGTGAAATATTTTTAAAAATCTTTACATGTGTGATGCTTGGCAAGTGGTTTTGTGGTTTTCCTTTTAAATTAATTTACACTTTGAGGTTTTGTCAGAGTGTTTCCCTTTGCCTAGATTTAAACATTTTTTGAATTCTTTTCTCTGTTCTCATAACTTTAGTTGTAACCAAAGACTAAGTCATAAGATGGATTAGGAGACTGCTGAACACTTGGCTTCAATTAATTGCTGACAGCAGCAGTGAGGACAATTAACTCCTTCAATTTCTTGTTCAGTTAAACTGACAAACATTTATGGTAGAATTGTTAATCCTTGTAACTTCTCTCATATTGTTAAATGACATGCGAACTCGTAGTATCTGAGTTTTTAAGAGCTTGCAGTGAATAATTACTGAAATAACTTGTTTTGCTGTTGTACTTTAAAGGACATAAATAAGGGGTTGATAATTGGAAATTCTTGTTTTCATAAGGCTAAATGTATTTGTTGGTAAGTTGACCTATGAATAAACCACACATGGAAAAAATCCTGAAACTTCAGGCCAGTATGCAGAAGAAACACTTTTAAGATTTTTTAGATTTTTAAAAATATTTGAGACAGTAAGTCATTTGAGGTAGCCTTTTGTGAGGCTTTAAAATGCAGTTACTAATGGTGATGTGCTTTGTTTCATCCATACTTTTTTACCAGTGCTTGATTACAATGAAAATATGTTATTATATGTCTCCTCTAAGGAGCTAAATTTACTAACAGACCATGTTATGAAAAAAAAAAAAAATCTTGTTTCTGTAATACGGCCCTATTTGGGTGACAGCACATGCTGTAGTTTTTACTGTACTTCTGACAAGGCTCAGGAACCAGATAACTCTGAATAAATCATACCATCTGCCCAGTTCCTCACCCACTCTCCCTCCCCTACTTCCTTTTTTCCCCTCTGGAAAATGTGTATCAATGTTTTCTGGCCAGAAGGAATTTTCCCTCTCAGTAATGGCATCCTTTGCTTAATTTGATCTGCTGTTAAAACAACATTGACATTTGAAGCATGCTGACTCACTGCTTGTCCAAAAAGTCTATTTTGCTTTTTTCTTATTTTTTATGATCTTTGTGCTACTTTGTTACTGTAAAGAGGAAAATCTGTGTAAGCTTGTGTTTGAGTTTTTGTGTTTTGTTTTAGAACAGCATTAGAAAAACTTTATGATGGAAAAGAATAATTGGGGTTAGTGAAGAAGCAGCTTGCCTTCAGTACTGCTCCCAACATGTAATCTCATAGTGTATCAGTGACCTGGTCTTTGGGAGCTGTGTGTATTTCTGTTAATATAAATGAGTGGGTTTGGGGACAATTACATTCTTCTGATACATTTTTGCAGAAAATGAAACAGTTATTCTTTAATTGAAAAAGTGTGTCTCTTCTAGATCAATCAAACCCAAAGAGTAGTTACCATTATTTGCTTCTGAATAAATAAATAAAAGAAGCACACATTAGTGGTTGGTGTGCCAGATACTGGTTGGGCATATTGTGTGCAGCTGCACTGTCTGGAAGAGGAAGATGTATAATCTGTGCTTAGTGGCACCTGATTTCTAATCTCCGGATCACACTACAGCTTTTTTTTAATTGGTGGGACTGCAGGGTGTCACTTAAGAGGCAGGACCTAATCTTGCAATTATTCCCCAGACAATTCTGTTGGTGATTGCAGTAAGCGAATACTGTGCTCAGACAGTAGGATTTAACTAGATACAACATGTCTAGAATTGTTCTAAGTAATGACTCTCTTTGCTGTGAGCCATAAAAAGAATGCCTCTAGCTGAGTTACTGAGTGAACCTTTTAGTACTTCTTCAGTACACCATTGTTGAAAGCAAAAGAGACTGCAGGTTGTGAGGTGTGACAAGCAATATTGTTCTGGGATTTCAAGTTTTGCTTCATTTGGACAGCTTAAGTAATATAGAGGAGTGTCCCCATTACTGTTTGGCCTGGAGCAGTACAGTAAATAGTTTTGAAAAGAATCCCTGATTGCATTCTGTGTTCTTTATTTTGATTCAGATCCCTTAAGCAGTTCAGATGTGCAGAAATCATACAACGTGGCTTTAGTTCATATCGGTATATTCAACTTTGTTCCATAAGCTTAATGTGAACAGAAGACTTGCTTTGATGAGCTTTTAATTATTTGTGAATTGATGACATAATCAGTTGATGAAAAGTAATTTTTTTTCTTTGGAAAAAGTGTGATATATAGACTTTTTTAAAACAAATTTTGGCTTGGCATTAAAATAAAGTGATTGTAACTGTTCTTAAAGTAACATCTGTTGTTGTTGTTAATTTTAGGACTTTGGATTGATTTGGAAATGTCCTACAATGGATCTTTTCTCATGACCCTAGAGACCAAGATGAACTTGACCAAACTTGGTAAAGAGCCACTTGGTGAAGCACTTAAAGTTGGAGAGATCGGCAAAGAAGGGTAAGGTGCTATAATGGTAGAATCAAGTGAGAGCTTTCATAGTGAAAAAGTGAAGTTTTCCTTGTGTTTGTGCAGCTCTGGATCTGCAACACGTTGCAAGGAGTTGGGAGTGGGTTGAATATATATGAGTGTAGAACTTGGCCTTTCTGTGCAACTTTAGTGTTTGATTACAGCATTGATAATTGTCTTAAGAAAAGGCTTTTATAGTACAAGAATTTTTAAAAATTTATATATTAGCAGGATTTTAAAATGTTCTGTGACTAAAAGTTTTGTCTTATGCTTGATTTGGGGTCTTAGCCAGTAAGACATGAATTGAATATTGGAGATGCACGCATGCAGATATGGAGATAGACACATGTAATGTGCTGCTGCAGCGTGGTACAGCTGCAGCTGTGAACCATGTCATAGTAAACAGCTGTGGAGGTAAATAGGCTGTAACTGTAAGGTAAAGACTTTTTCAGTAGCTTTATTGCATCATGGGAATAACCACACCCCTACTTCAAACTCCAGTTTTCCTCATCCCACTTCAGTTTCCCTGCTATGTCTAACTGAAATGCCTTATAGATGAACTAGTTAGAAAACACACATACTATAACTCACCTAGCTTGTATTTGTGCTTTCTCTCTCATTTTTATGATGATGTTTGAATTTCATCAGTCTGTCCATTTGTATTAACCTGGTGAGTGACACCTGTCAAATGAGAATCATCCCATCAGGAGTGTTGATTCTCTTTGTACTTCAGAAATCTGCGGTCCCTGAGCAGTGGGTGGTCTCTGATCTAGTGCACAACCGCTGCCAACAAACCAAGAATATATTCTCTAAATCTGCCTGTTTATTTAGGCACAAATAAAATGTGGTCTTTCAGAATTAAGATACTAGATGCTTTGTGTACTCATGCTGTAGATCTGACCATATATCCTGAGATATCTTGAAGTAATACTTACAGCAGCACTCTATTACAGTATAGTCATGACAAGAAAATACATGTGAAAAAAACTAACGGCTGAATGATCTCAGACACTGGTAGGAATTCAGAGGATTTAAAATTGACCTAGATTCTTGTTGTCACTGCTTGAAATAAATATTTCTGAATTTACATCAGTATAATTGGTAGATGTGATTTTCAAAAAATCCCTTTAATCTTGTCTACCCAAAAAAATGGGTGATAGAGAAGGAATTGTCAATACAAATCAAATTCTTGCTTTTTTTCCCCATCAGGATTTGGGGAAGAAATCCCTTCAGGATTTTCTTTGTGTATTTTTCTGTCCAGTGCAAGAATGGCCTCAGAAATAATTAGTGAACACATTGATTTCATATTTAAAAATCAGCTTGTTTCTAGCTGAGCAATAAGCCCCCAGCAACGTAAATGTAAATGTCTGTAGCTAAGCAACCAATTACTTGAAGATATAACCATTAACTGTATTGCTCCCTGCACATGCCCATGATGTTTCAAATGCTCAGGGCCAGGTACAGTGCTAGCTTTACATAAAGAGCAGTCTAATGCATTCTACTTTGAATTATGGTTTTTTTTGGTTGCTTGGTTGGGGTTTTTTTTTTTCCTTAAATACAATGCGTATTATGAACAAACAAATGAATTAAAGACCCTGAGAATTATAGAACAGTTCGATTCTCATCAGTGCTTTCTGTTGTGGTAGTTAATTTGGCTGGCTTTTTTTAGTTACCAGTTGACAATTACTGTGACAAATCAAACCATTCTGCGTTTGTGTTGTCTGTAAGTGATGCATATTGGTTGCTTATGCTCATTCTGTCCCTCAAGAGCCTAGAACAAGCCGCCTCTTGAGATGCAGTAACCACAGACTCATGGAAGAAAGGCATCTCCTCATCCAGAAAGAGGAGGGTGGGGGAAAACAACACTGAGTTTTAACTGTCCTTGGATATTGTCAGTGTAAAGTGAGAGAAACTGCAGTCGATGTTGCAGTCTGTTCTGTTGCTGCTCCTGCGTTCCCGTTTGAAATAGAAGTGTGCTGTTACACAGTTTGATAATGCTGTCTTGCACCTACTCTCAGGAAAATGCAGGTCTCAGAAAGGCTGGAGAACTATTTAATTGCCAATTTTATAAATTAAAACAGTAGCAGGTTCTACCATACCGGAGATTAGACAAATGCAGGCAGGCTAACCCAAAGTTACCGAAGTTTCTCACCCCATCAGTCCTTTTTGCTATGTCGTACCATGTAAAAACAAACCGACAAATGGCAATTCATAAGATTATGTGCAATCTACTCGGCAACAATTCTGTAGCTCCAAAGCATTTTTCTGCCAATGTTTGTGTCGTATAAATGGTCCATTGTGTGCAGAGATCCCCTGAAATCTCACTCAAGCTTATTTATTGTTGCTTTGTTTAATGCGAGGAAATCTTGCAGTCTTAGCCTGTCGGTACGTGCTTGTGGAGGCACTTTGGAGGGCCTAGGCGTATAAAACACCTTCTTGTAAGAAGGTGACAACTTGGAGAGCCTTGAGAATACACTGGGTGTGAACTGGGTAGTATGATGTGCGCAAGAGAGTGAAGTGAGGTCACACCCAGGTATAAAATGTGTAGTTTGAATCTCGCCTAAAAACATGAACTTCTGTCTGAGAAGCAAGTCCAGCATTGCTGTTTGGGCCAGTGATGTGAACCAGCCACCACCCTCCAGGTTCTGAGGGAGGTGGTTCAGTTTGCTGTTTCACTCTTCTGCAGGTATAAAATACATCTCTGGATAAGAAGAGAAGATTTACAACTCTGATTCCATAGCCTGGATAGCAAATTCTTCAGTGTAGAGAGGTCATGGGATTATTGTTCCACTTCTTAAGCAGGCAGTTAGCAAGGAGTGCTGTGCACCGAGAGCTGTACTTGAACTGTCCTTTTACGTTAGGACTTCATGCAGCAACTAATGGTTTGTTCTATGTACAGAATAGCAGACAGTAGCCTCAGTCCAAGAACACACATGCAAAAAAAAAAAAAAAAAAGAAAGAAAGAAAATGCAGCTATAAACTGTATTCTGAACAAGATATAGAATATTGTAGTCCTGGGTATAGTCCCTAGGGCTAAAACCATGTGCTTTTGAAGCTTGTGTTGTGTAACTATTTCAAGCTCTTGCATTTGATAGAGATCTGGTAATACTGCAGTGTATTCACTGTATCCTTCCCTAATTTTAATCCATTTAAAAGACTGGGAATTTTTTGTGTGATTGTGTACATTAATTCTTCCACAGTATAGGAATTGGTTACTACTACGTGATATTTTGTACCCTAAGAGCAGCACTTGTTTCATTTTATTACTTTTTCCCTCTCTTCTCCCCATGACATTCTTTGCCTTATTACATCTTGGACTCTCTTCAGAAAAAAATAAAACAAAACCTAAAATCCTGTAAACATAATTCGCTGTGTCAAAGGAGCTTAAAAAGTTCACAGACCCAAAGGTCAGTTTCCCTTATAGTAGGGAAAAGAATATTTCCAGCAAAGATACTGAAGAGAGCTATTACTTCCCAGGGTTATGTTAGACAATGGCTACTGTTAGTAAAATTACCTTTTTTCTACACGAAATGGGTAAGTGATGATGCACACTGTAGCTACATTAAGGTGAATCGCTAGTTTGAGACAGCTTCACTCTGCCACTGTGAGCGTTGTCCACTTCCTTTTGGAGGCAGATGGCAAAGATTGATTCTCTTGTGCTTTGCACATGTTACCATTGCTGGAGATATGTCTGTGCTGCAAAAATGGCATGAGTGTGTGGGTAGAGAAAATGGAATTTATTGACTTGGACTGAAAGTGCTGTGAAGATAAGGTGTGTATGTTGTGAAGATAATGTATATACAATAGCATCTCAGTTAGCATCTCTGAGGGATTCTGGGATTCAGTTAGTAGACAATGTCATTTTAACTTGGAGTCCTATGTTTGCTTTTAGTACAAGACAGAATGGCATGTTCTCACCTTTCAATTTAAAAGCCTGTCTTTGTCAGGGTTTTAAAAACAAACAAAAAAATTCTGTCTAGTCAACATACTGCTCAACTTCCATGGAAAGCTACAAGCAACAGAGATGCTTTCAAATTTAGTTTGAATAATCTCTGCATTTGATTTGAATATGTAGAATAGCTATTCCCCTGCCATCCTTTTTTACGCAGGATTACATTCCACTGGAAAAACCCCGATTTTTTATTTTTAAGCTAATTCTGACAGCATGGCTTCGGAGTGGTTTTGGTTTTGTTCTTTTAGGTAGAGTTTATAAAATAAGAAGAGGGGACATTTCAGAGTCTCCAACAGAGATACATGTGATGTCAGCCAAAGCTGTACATGATGAATAGCTATTTAAGAATATTACGTTTGACCTGGAAATCGTATTGTTTCAGTTTCAGGCCAAGGGCATATTGTCTTGCAGACAGTGATGAGGAATCTTCCAGCGCTGGGTCTTCAGAAGAGGATGATGCTCCTGAATTGGCAGGAGAGAAGCAGGTGACTCCAGGAGCAGAAGGGTGAGCTGTCTACCTAGTGTTTGTTAATCCTTTCCTCCCTTCTCTATTTCCAGACTTAGCAAAATTGATGCCTTATTCCAGTCCTGTAGTGCTCATTGTAACACAGGATGTCAGAGTGTGGATATATCCAAGCAGTTAAGCAGACACAACGGTTTCTAGAGCAAACAGCAGCAACCAAGCCATGGACTGCAAATCGAAAGGAAGCTGCTCTGCTGAGTGTTTCACCGTGCTGGGAGCATTGCTTACCACACAGCACTTCTGCAGAGTGACCGGTACAGTGGTCTGTCTGACACCTCCTAATTCCTTCACCATTAGATAGATGATAGAGAGAGCCAAGTCTTTGGGTCAGAGAACCTGTGGGGACCTTCTGCAGTGTATCTGGCTTGGTAGCAGAGCCAAGAACAGGATTTTGTGTGTGAACTTGAAACACTGTTTGTATACAGTACTATACCCACACTGATCCTGCTGATCCCTCATTTCTGGTGTGTTCTTTTCTTAAAGAAAGCGACTGTTATTCAAGCCTAGCTTTCTTGTTCAGGGGTTTGTGTTTTTATTTTTCCCTTTTTTTTTCCCCCCCCGAAGGGCTCTGGGTGTCTGAGCTGTGCAATACTGCCCTCTGATGCTGTGTGAGAATTTTGAAGCAAATTTCCTAATTTTGCCACGTCATTCCTTGTTTTGGCTGCTGTTCTGATTTTTTTTTTTTTTTTCCTTTTTACATCTGATTGAAATTGTGCCATGGAGTGAGAAATGTGTAGTAACACTGAAATGTCTCAGACAATCACAATGTGTTTCCTGTGTCTGAACGCATCTCAGTGATTTTACAGTGAATGTACCAAAAGGCTCCATGACACATTCAGAATGTTCCAAGGAAGTTTCCTTGGAGTTTTACTTCTAAAACCGTTTGAAAACTATGTGATGAGTTGTTGGAATTATTTAAATAGATGCATTTAATATCTTTAAAAATATGTAGAATTCTTAAGGACAAAGAGGGAGAACAAAGAATTTCTAAGTAAAATACTGAAAGAATTTCCTTACACTTTTCAAAAATCTGCTTTACTATCACTATAGAATCTGATGAGAGAGTAACTACTTTATCTGGGTAAAGATACAGCTAGTGTAAAATCCAAAAGTTGAAATTAATTCACTCCTTTTATATCAGGTGAGAAGGTTGTTGTCTTCTCTCATGCTGAGGAAAAAGTTCTGTAAAAGGCTGGATAAACGTTAATTTTTTGCATGATAGGAAAATACTATTTCTTTAGCAAGGCTATCTCTGCTACATAACATCAAGAGCCACGATTAGGTGTAATATAGTGTGTGTACATATCAAACATGCTCTTCTTAGTGTGTGTATTTCTGAAAGGAGATAGGTATGAGAAAAGACACATTCAGTCCTTAAAGCATCTGTTTTAAAAGCTAGGATGCATCTGACACATTTGCCAGGAAAAGTAGCCTCTCTTTGCAGGCATAGTTAACCATTTTTGAAATATCATTCCAGCCACTACCAAAATAGCCTTCCTCTTCTTTTTCACCACCCTTGTACTCGTTGTAAATGCTACAGTACCTTAAAATTAGAACCTTTTTGTTCAACATACACTGTTAAATAGGTTAGACATGATGTTTGGACCTTCTATGCTGATATGTGCATACATCTTGGTGTATCTGTGTCTTGACAGTTTTCTTAGAACAGTAATAGACAGGTTGTCACTTCTCATGCCAGCTTGCTGGGATAGCTGATACAAGTATATTTGCAATTTAAAAAAAAAGTTGCATTTCTAATGCCATCTGGGAAGGAGGAATGTCCAGACTGGTCAGAATCTCTGCCAGACACGTGTAGCTGACAGAGTACAGCTGCTGTGCGCAGGCTCTGGTAGGTGCTGCTTAGACGTGTGAATACATATCTGTTTAGAATTTTTATATCAAAAACTCTAATGATTTAATAGGAAATCCGTGGGTGTCTTAGAAAACAATAGGTTTATGAAAATTATATTGATGTACTCTTTTTCTGTTCTCTATCTAAAGGTATGTTGGAGGACATCGGACGAGTAAGATCATGAGAATTGTGGATAAAATTACTAAGTCAAAATACTTTCAGAAAGCAACAGAGACTGAATTTATTAAGAAGAAAATTGAAGAGGTCTCCAATACTCCATTGCTGCTAACAGTTGAAGTACAAGAGTGCAGAGGAACACTAGTAATTAACATTCCACCTCCACCTACCGACAGGATATGGTAAGAGGAACTTACTGCAGAACTGGGCAATGTTTCAGGTGTGTGCTACCTAAGGGATTGCAATTAAGAAAAAGGGTAAAGTGTAGCTGAAATGGGTTCTGGAAGAGGTGCAATACAAACTAATTGTAAATGAGGTAGGAACAGCTATTAAGAGAGCATTGACAGTTATTGTATGTAAGTATATGCTTTGTTGGAGTGTTTATAATAAAACCTGTTCTGTGTACTCTCCTAAGGTACGGCTTTCGAAGACCTCCCTATCTGGAGTTAAAAGCTCGGCCAAAACTTGGCGAGAGAGAAGTGACTCTGGTTCATGTAACTGACTGGATAGAGAAGAAACTAGAACAAGAGTTTCAGGTGTGTTTCCTTTACATTTTCATTTCATAAATTATCTTTTGGTTTAGAGGGCTGGGTTTTAAATTTTTTGCGTGTCCCCTGTTTCATTCAAGAGTAGTTGTCATCCTCCACTGCTCCTGTGCAGTGGAAAAGCATGTTAAAAATTCAGCTGAAACTGATTTCTGGGATGGTCTCATCCATCCATCAGCAGTTTACTCACCAGCTTCATTCTGAACCACAACCTGTATATCAACCAGAAATCAAAACTGCTTATTTCATTAAAAGTACAATTTGAAGTATATGGGTAAGAGCTGAGAAACCATGAGTTAAGAAGAGTTGGTACGTTTCCTGTAGTGCTGTTTCAGTTTATTGGAAAGTGCAGAAATCTTTGTATTTCTGAGCTTCATCTACAACTGCAACACAACTAAATGGCTGGAGTTCATGGACACTGTAAGGCTTCAGTACGGGCATCGACTCAGACAGTGCTGAACTCAAGAAAAGAACCTTTTATATGGAAACTTGTTGCATTTTTAACTAAACAAATCGGAAAACTAATGTCTCAGGTAGCATATGAAATGTATCTCAATTTAATTGCATCTCTTTCACAGAAAATCTTTGTCATGCCAAACATGGATGATGTTTATATGCCTTTAATGCACTCAGCCATGGATCCACGCTCCTCTACGTGCCCTCCTAAAGATGTGATCACAGAGGCCCTTGATCAACCATGACACGTGAAGACTCTTGCAGTTTACAGTATTATAAAAGTTATTCTCATGGTTTATAAACTGTGTTGTAGTTCTCATCCTTAACTTGCGCCACCTTTCACCCCCCCAAGGACTGCCTATAACCATACCTTTGTGCTCACTTGCCTGGTTATTGTTCCTGTGTACTTCAGCTACATGAAGTTTCACTCCATTAAGCAGTTGATTTTATTTTTGTACTGGCTGCCACCAGGATTTTAACTCGGAGGCTCAGATGACCTGTTCTTTGGGGGAGGGAGGAGGAATCAAGCTGTAATAGATCAAGGAACTTGTTGACATACCTTTTTGTTCAGCTTATGTTTTCATGCTATGTTAATGTGCATTAAAGCATTGAAAGGTTGTTTGGCAGCAAAGGAACTGCGTGCCAAATGGAAAAAATCCTAAATAAGGAATGAATTTATAAAACTGGAAGAATATTTTTCTTTCTCAGGCAGTTGGAGGTGTAGAATGAACTGTTTTATGTTCTTTCACTTCTGCAGTCAATAGCTTGTGTCAAGCAATTGAAATATGAAATGCTTTCAGGATCAAAGAATGTAAATTGGATGTATAGGTAATAATGCGATTCGATGCGGTATATACATATTACTTTTTTCATACAGAATTTGTGCTTTTTTTTTTGGGAAGCAAGTAGCCATAAAACACACACAGCTATCAGTGAAGGTGGGACTGTCAAATTGTTGTAAATGAGGAGAAAAAAAAGTTGGTAAAGCCATGAGACCAAACCATAGCAAGCCGCCTTATAGTGAGGTACAATCACCTTGGTTCATTATTAATTCTGAATGTTTTTAAAGACATGAGCACAGAGATAAAATGTCAATACTGCACATTACCAGAAGTACTTAGTTACCTTACTGTGTATAGAGCCTCTTGCTACAACAAAACACACAGTTTTTTCTTATAGGAGAGTTTGTTGCTGTCTTTTCCATTGCACTGTTTACATGTAAAAGCATGGGGCCAAATTCTCACCTTACAGCCGTGCAAGTCCAGACATCAAATTCCTTGATGTCTGTGAAAACAGCTGTGAGTGAAAGATTTTGACTGCCATGCATTGTTTGGTTTTTTTTTTGGACTTTGTGGAATAGGAATTCAAGCATTGCAGTTATTCAAGCTGACTATAAAGACTGTTTCTGCTAATTAATGGCCAAAACTAAGGGAGGGGGGAACTGCCTTTTATTTCTATCTGGTATGAGTCAAGACTAAATGTATGCAGTAAATTCAATATTTGAACACTACATATCCACTGTTTAACACATGTAGTATTTTTCTGATACTCAGTGTTGCCAACTATTCATGGACGTCAGAAAACGTTTTAGTTTACAGAGAAGGTGAGTTTTGGCTCTCCTTTTATAACATGATTTGCTTTTTTTTTAGAAGTAATTTTTTAAGGACTTTTTTGTATGTTGTGTTGTCACATTTGATGTAAATCAAAATTTCCATGTATAACTTGATGATTTACCATCTCTAAATGAAGCTATTATATTGAAGGTTTTTTAAACAGCACCTTGCCTGAAACATAGAAGAAAACTAGCATTTAATATATTTAAAATTAATTCTATATTTGAACACCTATTTTGGTTACCTTTAATTGAAATATTAGGTTATATTTGTTACCTGAACTCCTCCTTGACCATTCCAGGCTGTGTATATTCTGGGGTTTGCTTTGATTACGTAGGCATTATTTGCCTTTCATGAAGTCTGCATGTCTTGTACGCAGGTCTTTTATATTATTTAATTTCTATGTGCAATAACTAAAGTCAAAGGACTAGATGCACTAATGTGTAAACAGATTTAGACTTATTACACAAGATTGTCATATTGCACTTCATAAATCGTGGGTAACTACAATCTGCTTGCTTTGTTTTATTAAATAAATTTATCCCATGTCAAACAATTATTCAGTTAAAATTGATTTGTACATAGTGCTTAGCCACTATATTCTTGTTTCAAAGACTTCATCAGAAAGGCAGCTTCTCAAGATGACAGTGTGCCATGTGCTTTTCAGATTTTTACTTTTTTATATACCTGGTTGTACTCGGTGGTTACGGCATGTTTTCAGGGTTAACTAATACTGAGACTGTTCTAACTCTAAAAGCTTAAAATTGATTACTGTAGTGAAAAGAAACTAAATTTCACTCTAGCAGTTAATATTCATATGAGGAACATGCTTTAAAAAGGTTATTGTTTCAGTTTACATCTGTGAAAATCCTGAAATGATTACCAGAAATTACAGAACAGAGGCGATGTGTATGAACAACCCTGTGTAGGTTTAGTTGCAAAAGCCTCTCTGAGTTTAAGCATTTTATTTCAGTCTTATAGACTCTCCTGCTACTCTTCTATGTCCAATCCTGTCATCAATGTAACTACAGATTTCACTTATGTGCAGAAAAGAGGATGCATAACAGCAGCTACTCTGCTTGCAGGACAGCTGTTAACAAAACAGAAACCATGGAGGCCCTTTCAATAGCTGCAGCTTCAATCACTGGAGTCAAACTCACTTTGTTTCACATTCTCTTTTGCTGTGTGCGTGAAGAACCCCCAACACTGCTGTCCACAGTACAGACAGGATGCAGTTCTCCTGCTTCATAGCTAGCTCACCATCACCCAGGTGCTTTTACTCCTGCAAGAGCAAGGCAGGAATCCAGGACTTTTGCCACCTCCTAGCTCCGCATCCCCCTTTAAAAACTGAACGCTGGACTCCAGCTCTAGTCGAGATTAAAGCCCAGCTGAATCATTCAACAGAACACGAGTAACCTGGACCCCACATCACCCTCTCCCATCACTACGGGCCAAGTTCCCGAGCCCTGGGCCCGCACCGCACGCCCTGCCCCTCTCCTGGAGCAGGGAACCGCCCCCCCGCCGGGCTCCGGCGCCATTTTGCGGTGGGGCGGGGAGGCAGGGCCCGCTCCGACGAGCTGTCACTTGCTTTTAAAAGCGCCGCCCGGGTCGGGCCGAGCAGCCCCAGTTATGAGCAAGCGCTTCGCTCTAGCACTGCAGCTTGGCCAGCGGCGCCGCGGGCAGGGCACCCGCCGGGTC